TATAAACTTGGTAATATTACACTGTTGTTTTTGTAAAATTATTTTTTCTAAAAAGTTGAAATTTCCAAGCTAAAACTTACATTGGCCTTCTCGAAGAGTCCGTAGATGAAGGTGCCGGGATAGGAGGCGCCCTCCTTCTCGTTCTCCATGGAGACGGCGTCCAGGGCACAGCTCATCGGCGGTGAAATCCTTCTTCTGACCCTCGTCGAAACTCAAGGTCGAATCTTCGCTGAGCAGTTTCATGACCGCCGTCACCTCCCCGATGGCCAACGCCACGTCTGTGCTCTTTATTTGGATCTAGGCGGCTTCCTCGCAAATTCTGACACGATAACAAGTTTTTTGTGTGTAATATAATTATGTATCAAGTCATAACCGAACCAAAATTGCATTGTTTTAAGCCTTCCCTGCAATTCCCTCGGCCCCGCCTAAAATGTCAGCCTTGCTCAACTTGCTTTGGGGAAACTTTGGGGTAATGCTCATTTTGGGTATTATGGGTTTTTTCGGAAATTCCAGAATTTGTTTATGTTTATGTGAATTATCTAGTTAAAGTTTAATAAAACGGAATTTAAAAATCCCCTAAATTTAGGAATTAAAAACAAAAAACCCCGAATTTTTTTTTATTAATAATTCATTATTGAATTCTACTTTTCTTGTTAAAAAAATATGTTTTCATATCTATGAAATCCCCAAAAATAGTTTGTGTTACGAATAAACCCACAAATTAAAAAAAAAACATCTCTTATCAGGTAGGTATACATAATAATAATAATATATATTAAATAAACTTAATGATTTCTTCTAAAAATACTTTTAATAAAAAATAAATATCTTTGAGTTATGGAACTAATTTTTAATATTAAAAACAATGTTTTCAAAACATTTCCAAAACGAATTCATTTTCGTTATGACTATTAAACAATGTAGTAAAGCACAATCAATTGTGTAGTAAAGGATTACTTTACAGCAAGTTTTGACAACTTTTTACGAACAAAAACACTGTCATATCGGTTGCCTAATGCATTCTTCTTAAATAGAAGTTTTTAAATTCTTCATAAAAAATCCTGGAGGGGTATTTTGGATTCTAACATTAGGCAACCAAGATGATTTTTTTTCGTAAAAACCAATATCCGTGTTAAACCATAAAAAATCCGTAGAAATCCGTAGTTATTTTTTTTTAATGAATTACTCTGTTGCCGCTATAAAAATGAGGTTTTTAACCGCGATTCAAAAGCTTTTGGTTGACATTGGTGCCATTGGTGTTGAGTGAGTATGAGTATAAGAGACGTATAACCAGCCCCATTTCCTCTTGACTCTCGAACCCCGTACAGGCCTATGTTTACTTACGCCGATTTTTGTTCTTCCCCAGCAACTTCGCGGCTTCACCCGTGTTTGCTGGGTGCGAATGTCCATTGCGTTTCGTACTGTCCCCTATTTGGAGCTCGAGAGCGAGAGGCGAATAGTTATAATAGCCATTCCCGGGTTCGCCGAGCCTATGCTATACGCTCAGTGGGGTATGGAGAAGGGACGGGAGGGTGTTGGTTTTTGGGGGACAATTACGCCGACTTAAAACTAAGTACGACGCGGAATCCCCCTAGACCAGTCGATTAATATTACTCCAAACATTTGGGATTACTATTTGGAGTTGGGGAGTTGTTATTGCTGCAGTGTGTAGTTACCTAGTCGAGGTCTTCGTCTTGATCATTATTGTCATTATCCGTGTCGGATAGTTCCTGAACTTGGTAAAGTGTGTCGGTTGTTTTTTTTTTATTTTGTTTTTATTGTTGCTAAGTTGCTCCCAACTGGTCTTGTTAATTTGTGAGAAGTGCATGTTTTGTGCTAACGTGTCATGAAATGTGAAGCATGGTCTCCCGACTTTTTTGTCTGTAAGGTCTAGTTTAAGGGTGGCTTGTAGTATGTTGTTGCGTTGTATACGTCTGAGGCGGCTAGTATTGTTTCCAGTCCGGCCCAGAAGCCGTAATTACCGTGGTCGTTTAGGTACGCATTAATTTGTCCTGTTTTGTCACTTATGTGTTCATAACGACTGCTTAGTTCGTTTATTGCGTCCTCGATGTAGGGTCTGTACGTTCCTAGGTTATTACGTAAGTGGTTGTTTAATATTTGTCTAGTCTCTGCTGTTGTTTCAGTTTCGCGTAACGAACCTATCACCGTGTTAAACAGCTGATGTGCAATCGCTGCGATAAGGCAGTTCCCAGTGGGGGGTATTTTTTTTACTTTTACTATGAAGTCAAGAGTGTTTACAAATTCCATGGAGTTTGATTATAGTGCTTTTTTTAACTTTGTTTATTTTTCCTAGTTTATGTTGTTTATGTCTTAAGTGTCAAATTTATTTGGTCTCGGTTTATTTTACTTGAATTGTTATGTTGACAGCTTTATTGCCCTGTTCAACTTTGGTGCGTGTCCGCGATCGGCTGTTTGGTTTTTCTTGGAAAATTGACTTTTATTTATTTAATGCCGATGATTATTGTTTTTTTTAGTTAGGCAATGTGCCTTGTTTAGTTCAATTTGCAAATTATGTGTTAGGTCATGCGGAAGAATTGGAAATACTTAGCAAATATTTGCAGGTGGCCTGTTCCTCCCTTGTATGTCCTCTTTTGTTTGGCCTGTGGAGATCGACCTGTTGACCGATGGTGCGACCGTTCAGGCACTGACACTTGTCACTCGACACTTTCTTGTCACTCAACGCTTAAAACTTTTGACCGTTTCACTATGTTCGCCTGCACCTGTCACTTCACTCCTCCTTTTCACTTGGCCGTCAACTAATTATTGACTGTATTGTAGTCTGTACTCACAGTATTTTTTTTTTACACTATAGTAGTTTGCACTATGAAGGTTTATTTGTTGGTTATGGTTTTATCGTTATACGTTTTACGTTTACTCTGCCTCTGCTGCGTCGACTTCTTTACTCGACGGCTGGGACGAGAATGGTGTTTGTCCTCTCATTTTTTAAATTTGTCCCACTGTGCGAATTTGTCCTCTCATTTTTTTAAATTTGTCCCACTGTGCGAATTTTTCCCAACATTTTTTAAAATTTGTCCCACTGTGCGTTTGGTAGGTAGGCAACCCATTTGGAACATGTTTGTTAATTGATTGCCTACCTACAAATTATTGTTGGCAGCGACATCTATCCCAAAATGGCTAAACTAAAACTGCAAAATTTTTGGTTGCGGTTTGGGTATTTTTACATAGATGGCACTTTTAAAACTTTTGCATTTTTATAAAAATGCAAAAGTTTTAAAAGTGCCAACTATAGTTAGCGGCCAACCGCAAACGCCAACTGTAAAGCCTGATTTATAGATTGCCTTCATTTCTTCCTCCCTTCCTTCCTCCCGTACGGGAATCTATAAATTCCGTAGAAGATAAGCAATACAATCCCTTACGGAAATCTATAAACGGCACTACGGAAGGAAGGAAGGAAGGCAATCTATAAATCAGGCTTAAGTTTATAAATCGGAATAAAACCATTAAAAATATACGAAGCATTTTTAAATATCGATTTTAGTAAAATTAGAAAAAAATAACGATAATGAAAAATAAATGGATATTATATAAAAATGTGTTTAATCTCAAGCTGTGTAACAATTGTTAATTGTTTTTTTAATTTTGAAAAACAGGAAAACAATTTCACAAAAAAAAATGAAGTGTGCATAATGCAACAACACACAACAGCTGTTTGCAGTGTTTACAAGTACAGCCAACTGTTGGTAAACAAAACAGAACTATAGGTTTCAAACTTAAGGTTTGTTCCTGCAGTGGTAAAAACCGATTTGAGAATTATAAAAACACCAAACGTTAAAAAAATCTAATAAAGTTTTTCCATTTTTTGTATATTAACAAATAATCCAAAAAATCCGTAGATTTTGTGGCTTTATCCGAAAATCCGAGTTTAACATTGAAATCCGTAGGGTTAGCAACACTGGTTTTTAGCTGCCACCTTTAGGGAAATTTAAGTTTTCAATTTGCACCTTTGAATGTCACAAGTCATGGAGCATACACAAGGAGTACAATAGGGGAAATTGACAAAACCTGCCCACTAAATTGCACAAATTGGGTCTTGTTTTTTTACCATTGTTGATGAGTACTGACGTGTTTTGTTTTGGTAGCATTTCAGTACAAATCAAACAATCAACAGAACACCAGGAATATTTTTGTATACATGAAGCTTGGTCTCCTTGTATAGGCTTCATGGTCACAAGTAAACAACAAAAAATGACAGTTGACACATGTCAAAAATTACATTATAAAGCCCGCTGCACAATAGCCCGGTAACGGGAACGGGAACGGGAATCCTAACAATAAAGGTGGGAGAGACTAAAAAACCACTGTTGATAGATAGGGTTCGCTGAGTCTCTCCCACCTTAACCGTTTAGTTTCCCGTTCCCGTTCACGTTACCGGGCTGTTGTGCAGCGGGCTTAAATGTCACAAAAAATAACCTAAAATTTACCTTTCAATGTTGTGTGCTTCATCCAGTATGACAACATTGTTGCTCAAAACAATGCCGAGACTTTTTCTGACCTTGGGGTCCAACAGGTAGTTGTAGGGCATGAAGATGATATCTGCCTCCTTTTGGATTTCCCGAGCCATGTAATACGGACAGAATTTGTGCAGATTGCCCAGTTTTACCAGGTCTTCTATGTCCATCACCGGACTCTCTGAGACAACAGGGTCTTCTTTCTTACGTTCCACGCGGTTGTGAAAATGGCAATTGCGCGATTTCACTTTCAAACGGCACATCTGGGTCTACAAAAAATATTAATTTGAATTTTGAATAATTTACCATTAAATAAATATTTACTCTGGCAGAATTGCTCTGTTCCTTCATCACTTCTGGATGTATACACATTTGCTCCCTTGTTGTCTGCATTATTGCCGTCCCATTATCCACTTTTCCAGTCAGTTCTTTCAGCAGATTCCCCATGAAACCCTGCTTCTCTTCCGCAATGCTGTTTATTCTCTGCGCCTGAACTTGCGCTTTCTTCACCTGCAACCAGCCCAAAGTCGAGCACAGCAACGACAGGGTCTTGCCGGTCCCAGTGGGCGACTCCAGAACGCCATTTGTTTCGTTTTGCAGGCATTCAATCACCTTGTCCATGTATTCTCTCTGTAACTCGTACGGTTCGAAGGGGAATTCCACGGCAACGCCCCGTATATTTATCGTGCTCATCCCGAAAATTCTCTTTTGTTCACTAAAAAAAATTCTTTCGCTTTATCCGCCAAAAAAACTGTTTTATTATAGTACTCCTACAACATTGCGAAATCTGTTTGTTTTTCTTTGAGGTTATGTGTTTTTACCGCGCAAGCTATAATTGACCTGTATCTTAGGCAATCAAATACAATTGCCATAACAGGAGTTGCATACCTTCAGGATTGTATTTTATAACAATTTAAACGGATAAACGCGTAATTTACAAAAATTGCTAGATAGGCTTGCATTTTTCTAACGTATTTATTAGCGAAATTTCCATTACCTTAAAAAATACTGCAAATTTCTTTAAATATTGAAAAAATCCCATAAATGGACTTTTTACTTTTTTATTGTATTGTATTTTAGGACCAATATGTTATCGCCTTAAGGATAACATAACAAGATCTAACGAGAATGCATTTTTACATAATATGTAATACATATTATGTATACATATATGTATTTATAAAAATATAAGTGTTTATTTGCTACTTTTTTCGGTTTTTAAATAAATTTCGTTAAACATCTTAAGTGTAGGTTAAATTATAAAACAGCCTTTTATAAATATACATATACCATTTTTTTTGTTTTCAGCCCCACCCAAATTTTCGTTGTAAGAAACGAACATTTGTTTTACAATATTAATTAAATATATTAAAATATTTCGTGTGGGTAATTGTCGTATAAAACTGCAATCTATAAAATAATATTAAAATAATATAACACTATAAAGTTTCAGCAGCATTTTTTTGTAGGTATAATCGTGTCATCTTTGACAGAGCCACCGCGCATGCCCGGCCGGCGATTCGCTTTTGTCACTTTGGCAGCCATAATAACAAAACGACCGGAAATTTGACAGGCTAGGCGTCCTTTTGATAAAATGAGTATATTATTGCAGTTTTTTGTGTTTCGGTGCGATATTTTAGTGCGTGAGTGACCTTTTTTTCGTCTGGAGATGCAATAACAACGATGGTGACAGGGAAAGGGCTTTAAAGGTAAAAATTGTGATTTTGCTTGTTTCAGTTGTTTTTTAATGTTTTTTTTCTTTGTTACAGGTAGGTCCAGTACGGGACTGATTAACTAGGCAATCAGCAACAAAGTAGTAAGTGATATTTTTTAGTAATGATCATTTTTAAGTGATTTTATGTTTTAATACTTACATAGGTATACTTAGATAAAGACAATCTTAATTTAAGTATTTACAGATTATCAACATAAAAATAATTGTTTAACGCTTGTTAAAGATTGTAGTAGGGGGACATCCATTAATTACGTGAGGCATTTTTCTGATAATTATAATTTGGACCCCTCTCCCTTGGTGAGATGTGGTACATCCCCCCATCCCTTACGTGAGATTTTAGCCATTTCTTTGCGGACAACATATAAAAAAAATGATTTTTTTTAAACAAATTTGAATTAGGTATAATACATATTTTCTAAACTCAAAAGTTGACGTGAGATTTATATTTTTCACAATTTTGCTTTAATCTTAATACAATTTTTAGGGTATACTTTTCAAAATACGGATATTTAATTAATTTAATTGGTATGCTGAAAATTTTAAAAATGTTGTTTTTTGAAAAAAATTACGGGATTAATTTAAAAAAATGTACGTTACTTTTTTGTGGTTTTCACAAAAAATGGCGAATGCTCCGGGATTAATTTATAAAAGCCTCGTAACCTTTTAAAAAGGATTTTACGAAAAATCTTTTAACCTCGCTTTAAAAAGAGCATTTTCCTTGATAAATCCCTCAACTATTATAAAACTCTTATTAAAATTGTGGTTGATAATTATGTAAAAAATTAAAAATTAATTTTTTAAAAACGTATATTTTTTACAATTTTGCTTTAATCATAATAAAATTTAATTGGTAAGCTAAAATTTTCAAAATTGTTGTTTTCGCGAAAAAATGGCGAATGCACCGGGATTAATTTATAAAAGCCTCGTAACCTTTTAAAAAGGATTTTACGAAAAATCTTTTAACCTCACTTTAAAAAGAGCATTTTCCTTGATTTGTTTTCTTTGTAAAATATGGTATATAGTTGCATTTTTGACTTTTGCGGAATTTTATGAAAATAATTTTTGTTTAAATTTTTTTTGAAATTTCTTCTAAGTTGTTTTCTTACGTTCAGAAATCTAAAACTTTTTATTGCAGAGCACTATAGCTTTGCCTCTCGTCTACTACTTTGTTTTCATGTAAAATATCGTATAGAGTTGCATTTTTGACTTTTGCGGAATTTTATGAAAATAATTTTTGTTTAAATTTTTTTTGAAATTTCTTCGAAGTTGTTTTCTTACGTTCAGAAATCTAAAACTTTTTATTGCAGAGCACTATAGCTTTGCCTCTCGTCTACTACTTTGTTTTCATGTAAAATATCGTATATAGTTGCATTTTTGACTTTTGCGGAATTTTATGAAAATAATTTTTGTTTAAATTTTTTTTGAAATTTCTTCGAAGTTGTTTTCTTACGTTCAGAAATCTAAAACTTTTTATTGCAGAGCACTATAGCTTTGCCTCTCGTCTACTACTTTGTTTTCATGTAAAATATGGTATATAGTTGCATTTTTGACTTTTGCGGAATTTTATGAAAATAATTTTTGTTTAAATTTTTTTTGAAATTTCTTCGAAGTTGTTTTCTTACGTTCAGAAATCTAAAACTTTTTATTGCAGAGCACTATAGCTTTGCCTCTCGTCTACTACTTTGTTTTCATGTAAAATATCGTATATAGTTGCATTTTTGACTTTTGCGGAATTTTATGAAAATAATTTTTGTTTAAATTTTTTTTGAAATTTCTTCGAAGTTGTTTTCTTACGTTCAGAAATCTAAAACTTTTTATTGCAGAGCACTATAGCTTTGCCTCTCGTCTACTACTTTGTTTTCATGTAAAATATCGTATATAGTTGCATTTTTGACTTTTGCGGAATTTTATGAAAATAGTTTTTGTTTAATTTTTTTTTGAAATTTCTTCGAAGTTGTTTTCTTACGTTCAGAAATCTAAAACTTTTTATTGCAGAGCACTATAGCTTTGCCTCTCGTCTACTACTTTGTTTTCATGTAAAATATCGTATATAGTTGCATTTTTGACTTTTGCGGAATTTTATGAAAATAATTTTTGTTTAAATTTTTTTTGAAATTTCTTCGAAGTTGTTTTCTTACATTCAGAAATCTAAAACTTTTTATTGCAGAGCACTATAGCTTTGCCTCTCGTCTACTACTTTGTTTTCATGTAAAATATCGTATATAGTTGCATTTTTGACTTTTGCAGAATTTTATGAAAATAATTTTTGTTTAAATTTTTTTTGAAATTTCTTCGAAGTTGTTTTCTTACGTTCAGAAATCTAAAACTTTTTATTGCAGAGCACTATAGCTTTGCCTCTCGTCTACTACTTTGTTTTCATGTAAAATATCGTATATAGTTGCATTTTTGATTTTTGCGGAATTTTATGAAAATAATTTTTGTTTAAATTTTTTTTGAAATTTCTTCGAAGTTGTTTTCTTACGTTCAGAAATCTAAAACTTTTTATTGCAGAGCACTATAGCTTTGCCTCTCGTCTACTACTTTGTTTTCATGTAAAATATCGTATATAGTTGCATTTTTGACTTTTGCGGAATTTTATGAAAATAATTTTTGTTTAAATTTTTTTTGAAATTTCTTCGAAGTTGTTTTCTTACGTTCAGAAATCTAAAACTTTTTATTGCAGAGCACTATAGCTTTGCCTCTCGTCTACTACTTTGTTTTCATGTAAAATATCGTATATAGTTGCATTTTTGACTTTTGCGGAATTTTATGAAAATAATTTTTGTTTAATTTTTTTTTGAAATTTCTTCGAAGTTGTTTTCTTACGTTCAGAAATCTAAAACTTTTTATTGCAGAGCACTATAGCTTTGCCTCTCGTCTACTACTTTGTTTTCATGTAAAATATCGTATATAGTTGCATTTTTGACTTTTGCGGAATTTTATGAAAATAATTTTTGTTTAAATTTTTTTTGAAATTTCTTCGAAGTTGTTTTCTTACGTTCAGAAATCTAAAACTTTTTATTGCAGAGCACTATAGCTTTGCCTCTCGTCTACTACTTTGTTTTCATGTAAAATATCGTATATAGTTGCATTTTTGACTTTTGCGGAATTTTATGAAAATAATTTTTGTTTAAATTTTTTTTGAAATTTCTTCGAAGTTGTTTTCTTACGTTCAGAAATCTAAAACTTTTTATTGCAGAGCACTATAGCTTTGCCTCTCGTCTACTACTTTGTTTTCATGTAAAATATCGTATATAGTTGCATTTTTGACTTTTTAAATTTCAAACAGCTGTAGCGCCGAAACGGGAGCACTTAGAGCATTTTTGGGCTCAGTTTCGTGAACCACGCATGCCAATTGAACCAGGGAACGTGTTTTTAAACCATTTTATTTTTTACAAAAATATGGCAAAAAAACTTGACCAAATCGATCAATTTTCAAAAATTGGTCATGGTCTCTGATTTTAATAAAATATGTCGTACCCTATGTCAAATTTTCCCCGGAATTCGAAAATCGATACGGCTGACTCGATAAATTACCGGCTTGCCCGCAATCTTAAAAAAACTGCTTTGAAAAATCAAAAAATGGCAAAAAATGGCCGTAGTGCCTTTATGGAACGGTTTTTGATAAAACTGGTGACAGTTTTGGAATCTACGACCTTGATTTAGTTTATCTAGACACCCAACAGCTCCCTCAAAAAATCCTGAAAAATTGACAATATGCCTTTTTGGACGTTTTGACAGACGAAAATTTTGGTCAAAAAAAAACAATTTTTGTTATTACCCGGATTTAGTTAACAAAATGACTCATACCAATGTAAAATTTTCCGTAGAGTTCGATTTCGGCCCCAGAACGGCCCCATGTCCAACGATTTGGGCCCTATCGTCACTTTTCTGTTTTTAAACTTCAAACAGCTGTAGCGCCGAAACGGGAGCACTTAGAGCATTTTTGGGCTCAGTTTCGTGATCCACGCATGTCAATTGATCCAGGGAACGTGTTTTTAAACCATTTTATTTTTTACAAAAATATGGCAAAAAACTTGACCAAATCGATCAATTTTCAAAAATTGGTCATGGTCTCTGATTTTATTAAA